TCCTCTGGCTGTTCCAGCATCACCTACAGCCGCTCATCTGAACCAGAGCCCTCCAGATGTGTTAGACCAAATAGTGCCATGCTGGCTGGGAATAATAGTGGTAGTCTAGCACACCTTAGGGCAGGGGTAGGCAAACTGGTTCCCCCTGGAAGCCTTGGACTACAGCACCGTGATACCCAGCTGGTGCTGCCTTGGTCTTACAGAAGTTGTAGTCCAAAACGTATGGTGCACATGAGGTTGTCTGTCCCTCTTAGGAGGATGTCAGGTCAGGGAAAACAGATAGATAGATAGATAGATAGATAGATAGATAGATAGATAGATAGATAGATGGTCTGTGTAAACCTCGATCAGCCACATCAAATTCTCAAAACACTTTTCTGAACCTCTTCCCTTTTCCCAAAAGATAAAACAGATATCCATTACAGTGTTTAAGAAAATAATTAAGCAGTTATGAAGAAAACATCATTATGGGAACAACTTAAGCCAATGCATAAAATGCTTCTACCATGTTCAGATAAAACATTAAAAGGAAAAATAACCCCAAATGAGTGCTTTAGTTCTGTACTGCAGAGGGTAAAGTAAGTTAAGAGGGACATTTCTCTTTGTTCTTGCCTTAGGGCTGTAACTCTGTAGAATTGCTCAGTTGGTCTCTCCAAGTGAATGTCTTTGTGGCTAAGGTGCAAAAAGAAGATTGCCTGTAAGCCTGATAGCACTGCAAAACTTTCCTTAAAGAAGGAAGCCCTTAGTGCTTCCTTCCCTCCACATTAATGACACCAACTATGAGATTACTGTGGCTTTCTGTGCACTGTTTTCAGATCAATAGTAGTTTGGAATGCCAGCCAGTTTTCCAGCCCTATTAGTGGCTTTGTGGCATTCCTCAGCTTTAGCCTCATAAAATCTTTGAGTAATTGACAGAATAAATTGGCTCTGATGGGATTGATAAATTGAGTGGCTCTGTCTAAAGCAGAGGGAATCTGGAAGCTATAAATTAGGAAAACAATATATGCAAACAGTATGCCTCTCTGGCTGGAATATTTTGCCACCCTGTTCTCCAAATCTAGCATTGAACAAATACAAAATTTCACCCGTGTATGTAGAGACAGGTTTGGAGTCCCCAGGTTTTTTTTAACAAGGATCGCTGTCCGAGTGCCACAAATTGCATATTGCTAAAGTTTCTTCTTTGCTTGGTGTATGCAGTATGAATTTGCTCTGCTGGGCACTGATTTAAAAGCTAAGGAGGAGTGCATGTTCCAACTGGTTGTTTCCAGTGGGTGCATCTCAGGGTCAAACTCAATGTAAGAATAATTGGTTAACTGGGCATAACCCTTATTTGGACCAGGACCAGTACACACCAGGAGGGAGCAGCCTACGTGCTTCTCAAAATTCAGGGAGAAGACTTTATGCCTTAGGATTAAAAGATGGGAAACACATCTCCCTTGACTCAGACAGAGAGTCTTTTCTCTTTCCTTTCCTTTCCAACTTCCACACCTTGAAAGGAAGGAGAGAATTTTGGGAAGCAAGCACCTGGAGATAGTTTTAATTCTTTCCTCCTGGTGTACAATTGTACTTATGTTGTATCGCCTTCACTGACTGCCAGTTGAAGTCTACGCCTGTTTTAAGGTGTTTAAAATAATTTATAAGGCCCTAAATGGTTTTGGACCTGGATATCTAATGAAATGTCTCTTCCCGTATGCACCTAAGGTCGTCAGCAGAGGTCCTTCTCCAGGAGCCTGCTGTGAAGGCGTCTATCCAGAGAAGGGCCTTTTCAGCTGGTTTTGGAACCAGCTCCTGTGCCGACACTACATCTTTTGGTGCTAGGCCAAAACCTTTTTTATTTTCACAGTATTTTAATTTGCTTGGTTGTTACTTTCCCTTCTTTTAGGAATCAAGCTAATACCATTTTGCCTTCTGAGCTTTTAGGAAGCAATGACATTACCTCTTTGCTCTTTTGCTTCCTGTTTATGGTTGCCACTGGTTTTGTCACTAGGGTGTGTGTTTGTGGCTTTTATCATTTATTTGGCATTGTTGCATTTTGGATTGCAAGATATTTTCATGAATTTGTTGAAGGAAAGGAAACTTTAAAAAAAAGATTAATAAAGCTATGTTCTGGCAGTTTACTTCAAACCATGTGACTTAAGAATGAAATCACAAAGAATGATGCATACAATTTCCTAGACATATTTATGGAATAATTTAGGGTGAAAAAAAATCAATTGGCCTTCATCAGAGTGGTTGTGTAAACTGCCTTTTGCAAGCCTTGGGTCACAGAAAATTCTCATGTTGAAATGTTTGGGGCCAGATGAACTCCAAATCTGGAAGGATTTGGGGTGGCTGCAAGGAAAATTCCACCATGCAGATGCTCAGCATTGCACAGATTTTTCTTTCAGTTCCAATACAGTCAAATTTTGGCCAGTTTAAGAAAAAGACCATTTTTCAGTCTGGCCATTGAGGTTGGCTAGTTAAAGCATAAACCATGATCCCTGGTCCAGATGACACAGCAAGCAGAGGTTAAGGTGAAGTGCATGGAGCAGGGAGGGGGCTCCCAGAGCCTTCCTGATTCTGCACATTTTGCAAAGCTATAGTTTAGTGCAGGGGTGGCCAGTATTTTTGCCTTTGAGGGCCACATGCAGGGTTTAGTGGTCAGCTCCTCAGTACAAGTGTTTCTCATAGGTATGTTGTTGTTAGTTGTGAAGTTGTGTCCAACCATCACGACCCCATGGACAACATTCTCCAGGCCTTCCTGTCCTCCACCATCCCCCGGAGTCCACTTAAGCTCACACCGACTGCTTCAGTGGCTCCATCTAGCCACCTCATTTTCTGCTGTCTCCTTCTTCTTTTGCCATCTATTGTTCCCAGCATCAGGCTCTTCTCCAGGGAGTCCTTCCTTCTCATTAGGTGGCCAAAAGGAAAGTCCACAAATGCAGGTTCTTGTGTGGCATCATATCAAAAAAACTGGTTCTAGTTCCTTTCATCAGGATCTGGAGCATGTATTTTCTAAAGCTGATGAGCCTTAATTGGCCATGCATTAGCACAGGAACAATTCACAATATATTTTTGCTAGGAAATCTTTTTTTGCCACAGCTATTGTGCAGATTGCAGCTAAGCTCAGAGGGAACAGTGAGGCCTGCTAATCAAAAGTTTCATGACAGGAGTTAATCCCTCCTTCCTCTGTGCCATGTTCCCCTGCCAAATCATGTTCTAGCCAGCCTCCCAAGCTTCTGCTTCTCCTAGGGCCACTTCTTACTGTTTGCACACACCTGTTCAGTGAGATGGCTGAAGCAGAGGAAGGTGTGGCTTTTTCACGCCTTCATGGCTTGGAGCACCTGATGGGCTTCTCCAAATGCTTCCAAGGGCTGCATGCAACTTACCAGTCTCAGGTTGCCTGTAGGTAGTTCATCATGCTCTATGAACCAGGCCAGTCCACTTTGACTGGCAAGTCTTTCCAGTGGCACAACCCGGAACTGAGCCTAGGAACTCCAGTATGCAAAGCATGGGTTCTGCCACCCTGTCACAACCCCTCCTTGAAATGTTGGGCTAATTCCATCAGTGTTTTTCCTCCCAGGCTTGTTAAAACACTCAGTGTCAGCTGGCCTGCTCAGTGGACCAGCCCCAGGGTGATTCTACAGAACTGGACCCACTGAAACACATGGGCCCAATCTAAAGTATCTTAATGTTTGCCTGCAGGGCAGATCTCTTAAAGTTTGTGCATGGAGAGCCAGTGGAGGTAATAAACATTTCCCTTTCTCTCTGTTGCTCGAGCTCTCTCTTTGTCTAAAGTGCCATGCTACAGTGCATCAGACAGTGTTAGGCTTCATCTGCTGCCTAATTCAATGTAACACAGCAGATGAGATGAATCAAGTGAGTGATGCTGTACTGGATTTGAACGATGATGGCTCTTCCAAAGCAATCTCTGTGAAAATATTTCAGAGTTCGAGTCATCATGCAGTCATTGAGGATTTTAAAAATCCTGTAAACAAAACTTCTAGAACCTCTAAAGGAAGCACAGGAAACTGTATTAACGAAAGTGTATATCTGGTAGCACAAGCCTCACAGAGGCATCCCTTCCTGTGTTACAGCTGCTGCCATATAGGTTTTTAAGTCAGGGAAGGGGCAAGGGCACGCAAATGGGAGGAGAGCTTGGCCACCGTTGTGCTGCCCAGGACGTCATTGGGGTGCAATGGGGCTGAACTTCAGAATGAGCTTGGAACCAAAAGAATTTGGGGGATAATAAATCAGCTCATTTGGAACTACATGGAGGCATAAGGGAGAGAAAAGGCCGTCAGTGGCCTTTGTTCAGAAACCTGAGAAATGTTTGGGTGGTTCAGTCGCTCACCCAGTGGCACAGGAGGGAACGACTAATGGAATTGTTTTTTGATTTATTTTCTTCATGGTAATCTGTTTTTATGGTCTTTGTTAAACATATTCTTATTGATATTTATTTTTCTACTTTGCATGGTTTATATTTGGTATGCCACCTTGAGAGAGCTGTTTTCCTAAAGACCTAACAAGAGTGATATATTAATTAGTATAATTGTGCTCTGTGGTCTAGCCCCACTACCCTTGATCCCTGGGGAGGGTCAGCAGTTCTGAAGTGAGGATCCTGCTCTATCATTTAGAGCTGCTGAAATGTCTAGAACCCTTTACAAATTAGGACCATTCATGCTTAAACCTGGGAAAATAAGAGTAAATAAGGTGCAGTCTGGGCTTTAAGGTCAGATTCCCTTTTCAGTTCTTCCCTGCCCAGTCTGTGGAAGGCTTGTGATATGGATGCCGCTGTGGCAGGGTGAGGAACCAAAGGCGCTCCATCTCAAAGTCCATGCACGTGCACCCATGCTGCACCAAGACACACTGGGATCCTTGCAGTACGCAAACCTTCCAAGCACAACAGTGGTCATTTTGCTAGTAGAAATTTCATGTATGCAAATTACCTCTCTCTCTCTCTCTCTCTCTCTCTCTCTCTCTCTCTCTCTCTCTCTCTCTCTCACTCTCTCTCTCCATAGCCTACCGTGTGTGAACGGGAGCTGTGTGTCTTTGCTTTCCAAACTCTAGGAGTGATGAATGAAGCTGCAGATGAAATTGCAACAGGGGCTCAGGTAATGTGAAACAAAAACATGAACATGAACGATTTTTACACAGGCAAGTCTATTATTAATCATCCTCCCGTGTCATTTTGCTTCCTTTTAGTATGCTTTGAACAGTCCCAGTACACCAGACTAAGGATGCCATCTATGGAAGTTTAGGCAGAAAAAAGGGAAATAATGCCCAGCAGGCCTCAGCCAGCACAGTGGAATTTGTAGGCTGTTTTTCTGTTGAAACTTGTATTAGAATCATGCCTTATTGAATAGGATTGCTTATTGTGATCTTGTTGAGTAGTTTGTGTTTTACAAAGAGTTCCAATTTCACCCTAGAGAAAATGAAAAGCTGAGTAAATCTTCAAACTTTCATGTTTTTCTTTTGGAAAACTACTCTGCAAGTTTAAAGCCCGTATTAATTGCATTTGTCAATGTATTTCATATGAATTACATTAAGCTCAACTCACCTTAGTTGTGTAAATTTGTGCCCACCTCACGCTGCTGGATTGCCATCCCCATCATCTGATCATTGGTTATGGCTGAAAGGAGCTGGAATTCACAGCATCTGGACAGCTGCAGACCCCACCCTTTTGGTCCCTAGTTAAGTAGCCAGCTATGTCTTGGCTGAGCCAGTATTTGAATACATGTTTCTTGTTGATAAATTTAGTACTCTGTCCACTGGGCAATGTGGGCACCCCAGTAGCCGGGTTACTCATTCATAAGAAGTGAGCAGAAGAGGGAAAAGAAATTCGCCTAGATCCTTCTCTTCCTGATGTTTCTCTTTTATATTTCACTTTTTGCAAGGACCATCTCTTTAATTTCTCTCCAGAGATCTGAACATGAAGGTTTTAGAACTTTTCTTGGTATGAGTCAGATTCCATCTGGGATTGTGGAAAGAACCAGAGGGAAGTATTAATCAAATTCCTCCTTCCCACATTCTTACTCTGAATGTTTTCCCCAAGTAAAACATTTTAAATCAAAAAGTGTTATCAGAAAGCTGGAAGGACTGAACAAAGCAATTCATTTTATCCCATGTTATTAAATAAAATTATATTTGTAAGTTAGAATTTCAGAATATTTGGCAGCTAATATATCACAGGTCTTTGCTACAGCTACTTAAAGCCCCTTTTCAACATCATGTAGCCAAATACATGTACATTTTTTCTTTTTTTTTTTCTTAGAGCACCATTAATTTTGCTAATTATTTTCTCAAGATTGAATCTAAACTTTGATGAATCAGTCTTCCTTATACAGTGAAAGATAAAAGCTGTCAGCTTCAAATTTTATCATAAGCCTAGAAATCCCATAGAATGACTCATGTTAAAGGATACTTTTTCTTGCTACTTTTAACCAGTTAATCGTATGGCTTTGGTAGAGGGTAATGTTGGAAAATTGATCTCTGTAGCTCAGTGGTGGTGAACCTATGGCATGCGTGCCACAGTGGGCACACAGAGCCCTCTCTGTTGGCATGCAAGTCAAGTCACCTCAGCATCACCCCAGCAGCCAAGGATAGGATAACAGTGCACATAGGGGCCATGTGCAAACTCAGAAAGGAGTAGTGGTGCCAGGTGATGACATTACAAGCCACAACTTGTTAGCCACGACTTGTCCAACTTTTGCATGGCCAGTCAGTGCGCTGCCAAGGGGACAGATAGATAGATAGATATATTTGCTTGGACTGGCTGTGAAGTGTTTCTTTCTTAAATTAAAACCTCAGTTTTCAGGTTTTATTATGTTTAGAATGGGCAGAAATGATGAGCTGTGCAGAAAAAGCTACTCAAGAAAGGCCTTTTCAAAATTGCCCTCTTTTCAATGGAACTTTAGCCCTGAATTAGGGTTCGGGGTGTGCACCAGAGTAGGGTTAGGGTTAGAAAAACTAGGTGTCCTGGCATAAGTTTGATGGTTGGGATGTGTTTAGAATGGGCAGAAAGGATGAGCAGTGCAGAAAAGGCTACTCAAGGGAGGCTTTTTCAAAATCATCCTATTTTCACTGGAAAACAGGGCAGGGTTGGGGCAATGGTGATGAACCTATCACACGCTTGCCGCAGAGGGCATGCAGAGCACTCTCTGTCAGCACGCGAGCCAAATCGCACCAGCATCGCTCCAGCAGCCAGACGTCAGGTTACAGTGCACACAGGGGCCATGCCCATGCTCAGAATGGAGTAGCAGTGCCAGGCAATGATGTCTCAAGCCACGAGTCAGTAGCCCTGACTTGTCCGAGCTTTTGCATGGCCTGTCAGTCCACTGCCATACGCACGCACGCACGCACACAGTAGTCCCCCAAAATTCGTGGGGGTTACGTTCCTAAAGCCCCTGTGAATTGTGAAAAACCGCAAATTTGGTGCCGGCAATGGGCACCAGACGCCAAGGCAGTGCAGGCGGGAGGCGTGGGCTGGGCCGAGCCAGGGGTGGGCACACGCGCGTACATGGCAAGGCAGGGGCGAGCATGTGCAGAGATTGTTTTCGCCGAGCGAGTGCAAACTCAGAGGAAATGATCTCCTTGCGAGTAAGCCGCCGCACGGCGAGGTGCCGGCTTACTCGCAAGGAGATCAGCTTGGACTCGCTTGGAGAAAAATCCCGTGAAAGACTGAAGCTGCCAACAGTGAACCACAACTTCACGGGGTTATACTGTATATATATTTGCTTGGACTGACTGTTAGTTCTTTTTTCTAAACTAAAACTGCAGTTTTCAGGTTTTATTTTAGTGTTGGCACTTCGTAATAAATAAGTGGGTTTTGGGTTGCAGTTTGGGCACTCAGTCTCTAAAAGGTTTGCCATCACTGCTGTAGCTCCTTCCTGATTTATCACATTTATGCATTAACATGGGGCCACCTCTAGTCCAGGTCATACAGAAGTGAGGAACAAGGCTGCAGACTGGCCCTGGCCACTCTGAACAGCTTACTCCTGTGTTGCATTAACTGTTCTGGGCCCAACTCGTACTGTTGGTTCTCATCTTTAAAGCCCCAAACAGCTTAGGATGCGTCTGCATGAACTTTGTACTTTCTCCTATACACTCTTGCCTGATTGCTAAGGCCATCTTTGAGGCTCTTCTCTTGGTGCTGCCACCCACAAGGGTCGCTACCAAGGAAAGCGCTTCGTCCACAGTGCCTTCCCCCATCTGCGGAATGACCTTCCCAAGGAGGCCTGCCGGACGTCTTCACTGCATACGTGTCGAAACCATCCTAAGTCATTCCTCTTCCAGTAGTAATCTTCAACCTGTTGCTCTGATTATCAGTTTTATTTCTGGCTCCTTAATGTCTGATGTATTGTTTTTATATGATCATGGCTGTTGTACTTTTTGTATGGTTGTTTTATTGCTGTTCCTGTATTTGCCAGTTGGGCAGTATACAACTCTAGCAATTACAAAAAGGCAGACCTCTCGTACGATGATATAAGGAGCATTTAGCTGAGATCCTGTAAAAATGAAACACATGCCAGACCTTGGTCCCATCATCTGAGGGCGAAACCTGCTGGCAGAGAAGTAGCAGTTAAGAACTGTGCTAAGCTGCTGAGCGAAGCCTTCAAAGGAGAAAGGTTAAGTGGGCGATGTGCACTGATCCGTTGAAACCTGATATGACTGTAAAAGATGAGATGGAACAAGCCGAGGTATATTTATTGATGCAGCCTGATTGACTGTGGAAAACAGGTGCTGACGGTTAAACTGTGTTGAGGTTTGGCCTTATTACTAATTGGTTCTGGTTCAGTTTTTAAGTAGGACTAGAATAGACTTCTGTTTGTGAGCAAAACTGCTGTTTTATACCAAAAACTTTCACATTTTAAAATGGTGATTTTAAAATTAAATTAATATAAAATGTATGACCTGGACGTGCTATTGGGGGTCATTTGCTGGCTTGTTTGGAGCTCTGTGTTGTGCACATTGCATATCAGTTGATTCAGAGAAATGAGTAACTGATGGTTGCAGTACCTGCATCTAGCTATCCGCTGTGAGGGCACTGCAGCACAGCAGAGTTCAGGCCAGGAACTCCTTTCCCATGGAAGCTGCCATAGGGAGTAACATGTCTGGGCCACAGTGCTGCCAGATCCTCTGTTTGAGACCCCCAGTGAATGAAAAGGGGATCTTCTTTTGCATTGCTGAAGAATCAGATATGTGATGTATCAGTGAAATTCTTTCTTGCAAAGCCTTTTTTCAAGCATGGGCTGTTTTTGCTTTCATCTCCAGGTTGTAGACTTGTTGGTATCCATGTGTCGCTCTGCATTAGAATCACCCAGGAAAGTTGTTATTTTTGAGCCATATCCTTCTGTAGTAGATCCCAATGACTCTCAGATGCTGGCCTTTAATCCCAGGGTATGTATGTTCTATCTTTTTTGTGGCTCTGTGTGTGTAAAGAGTAGTGCAAGAAAAGCGAAAGCCTCCAGACCCACAAAAGCATGTTCCTTGAGCCAGGACATTTTGAATGCAAATTCTTCTTATAGGGCACTAAGATTTATATATATACACACATGCAACTATAGTACAAATCATCTATAAGAAACATAATGAAAACTGGACTTAAGCAAATCACTATCATAAGCTGCTTTGAGTCTGTGTAAGGAAAAGCAGATTAAAATCTAATAAATAAATGAAAACAAAAATTAAAAACAAACTATAAGCTAGGGTAATGGATTTATATTTAGCATTTTGATTGCATATATTGTGTTATACTGCATGAGAATAACAAGAAATCCCAAGGCAGAGCTGAGGGGCAGAGGGCACCCCGAGGGCTGCAGGCCATGTCACATTGCCCATCCCAAGGCTGGAGACATGCCTATAAGTTCTGGCCCCTCTCTTCCCCTCTCCTTGAGCAGCAGCCATGGAAAGCACCAGAGTGGTTGCCTTCCAAGGTCCAAAAAGCAACTTGAAATATCCTCACAGAGGTCAAAAAGCAGGCAAGGAAGAACAGAAGTAAGGAACTGCAGGATCCTAAACCCTCTCAGATCCTGGGTTTAGAAGCCCTTTGAGGCAGAAAACGCTAAATGGGAGATGGCAGGGCAGCAATTCTTTGCAGGATTTTTGGAAGCTCCCAGCAGGTGATGAGTCAATATGACCACCTGCACTAATGCTGATGAAGTTAATATATATATACACACATATAAAACCAGCCAAACAATTATATGACCCATAAGAAAAAGAGGCCATTTTGCTTCTCCTGTAGTTCCATAGTGAAGTACAAAACCCCTTTCCTTGGCTTGAAAAGCAGGGCAGTGAACCTCTTTGCACACAGTCCTGTGGCTTCAGGCAGCTTCTAGATGGCCATGGGATAATTTGGAGACTCAGCTCTAGCCTTGGGAGTTGGTCTGAGGTTGGCGCTGAATTGCTGCCCTCGGATCAGCTTGCCCCCAGACTCGCAGCTAGTGAGGAAAGAACCACCATTTATTTATTTATTGAGAAAATTTCTAGGCCGCCCCATTTGCCGAAGCCTCGGGGCGGCTTACAAATAAATAAATTAAAATACATAAATTAACAATATAATTTATTGTTATAAATTAACATGGCTGCCGCACCCCAGTCACAGCCTCAAACCACATACATAGCATCTTGGCAGCACCACGGCCTCCTCTCCTCAGGCTCCAAGGCCAAGCACAGGCCACTGAAGTTGGCCAAATGTTTTAGATTGCAGGAGGCACATGGAGGTGACCTTTGCCTCCATGCACCCTCCATCAGGCATAGGAGAGCGCTAGTCGATTATGTTCAGAGGGTTATGGGCAGCCTTATTAGGCTGTGCCATCAGGCACAACCAGTTTCATTGTAGCACAAGTTTATGTTAAGGTCATCAGGATCAATAATGCAGGTTTTAAGCTGTGCAATGACCATAATTCTCTGTAACTTCAGAAGAGGAGAAAATATCAAAATTGGGTGATCCTTTATAAGTTAGCTAAGTGTTTATTGCCTTTTATGAAAGTGATATGCTTGATATTTGTTTTGATTATATTTCAAATAAATGGTTTTGTGTGCGTGCGTGTGTGTTTGTGTGTGTGTGTTGAAGTGCGTTTGAGACATTTTGGCGTATAATCCCATCAGTTCCACCCAGGCAGCATGTAGTAGTTCAGGATGCTGGGAGTTATAACCAAAAACAGCTAAAGAGTACCAAGTCCAAGAAGGCTGGAGTAAGGTGCCCCAGTTGGTAGTGTACAAATAGATTTGAGATTAAGGTGAGGATTGGTGTGATGGTGCATAATTACACAACTGCCTCCCAAAAGCAGAGAAATGTAGAAATAGTTCCACCTAGAGCTTCTGGGGAGGAGGAGTATTTAGGGTCTTCTCCAAGGCTAAGATTTGTCAAATACGCACCTCTGTGCTCTCCATTTCAACTTTCCAACTGTATCTCTCACACACTTATGGATGAATCAGTTGAGGAAGAAAAAATGGATAACAGGATTTGCAGATCTTATTATCAAAGAGTATTATGATGGCTATAATGTATAGTTTTGTATACTGTAGTACAAAAGTGTTTGTACTTACTGAGTACATTGATAAAAATAACAACATAATGCTTTATTGGGGATCTCTTCATTTATTTTACCATAGAAGAAGAATTATGACCGAGTCATGAAAGCACTGGATAGTATTACTTCTATAAGAGAAATGACACAGGTAAGCATAAAACTCGAGTTCCCTAACTGTCAGCAAGATATATCTGTTTATGAGTATGTTAGTGTATCCTTTACTAGACCCATGTAAGAAAAGCCTATCAAAATAATAATCTCAGAGAGTCCAACAAGCTGCAACATAAAATCAGTTACCAGAACACAGGCATGTAAAACCTGAATGGCTCCACTGAAATAAGCAAAAATGACCCAGGAGCTCCTATTTTCAGTGTGGGCTGCCTCCGAGCAGGTGGACTGATCCTTATAACAGTGGAAGAGCATTGATCCACTCCTGCTTGCTGTATTTTAGTCATTGCTGTGTTTATTTATTGGGAATGCAATGCTTTGACTGAGCCAAGCCAAACCTTCTAAAGGAAGGACATTGGTTTGGTAACTATCTGTTATGACAGTGGCTGTACAGCTTGCTCATTTACATGCCTTGGGAGAGGGACTGTTGTAAGGGGTTATGATCATGAATGGGGTGTGCAAAGGGAGGTCCCTCCAAATCAGGCAGACGTGCCTTCTGTGAGCAGGATGTTCCAAGACTTCCAGCTTCTCTCTCAGTCCCCAAACAACACAGCCTACTCCATTCATCAGGATATCCCAACGCTCTGTGTATTCTTTTTCTTTGGGGATGGTGCAGGTAGGCTGCCTTGGAAAAGGGAGGAGTGACACCTGCATCTTCCAGCTCTGTCACACACGCTCAACTCTGGGTCCAGTTCATCATACGCTTAATTCATGTATGCTTATGGCTGTTCACAAGAATTATATATGGGGATCTAGAAAGCAATATACAAACAATTATTCTGAAAGGCCCCAGTTCCTATATTATGTAAAATCATGGGTTGGTATTACAGGCATGAGTAACACTGAACACCCCTTCTTTCTGCCAGCATGGTTTACTCCTGCTGTGGAACCACCCAATCCTATTACGACTAGCTAGGGGTGCAGGGACATCATAAGAGCCCTGCCAGATCAGTCCAGCATTGGGTTCACACAGTGGCCAACCTGCTCATGGCCCCCAGCAACTGTTATAGAGAGACAGATTGCTTCTAACGCTGAAGGAAGCATGAAACTATCATAACTAGCAGTCATTGATATCATGTATTCGGAACAAGCCAGGATCATAAACCATAGTTTGATCTTGGCTTGAGCAAACCAGTTAAACTAACCTAACAGTTCTTCATAGTTCAGGCATAACAAGAAATCTGGTTGGTTTGAAATGGGAAGCAACAGCTGCTGACCCCTCTTTAAAGCCACATCAGAGGAGGAAAGGAAATAATAGATGCATGATATCAAAGCCGGTGGCTGCTAGTACTGTTGTTTTCAGAGATAGCATTGTGTCTGAAATAAGCCAAAGTAAGCATTAAGTTGCAAACCAACTTTGCATTAAGAAGAATCCTCTTAAGATTTCAGAATTTGGGGCCAATTATTCTTTCCATTAAGCAGCAGTACCTATTTTCTGGCAGTACCACTAGTGCGTAAGGAATGCTCACGTATTTTTATGAAGGGTTATCAGTCAGTCAGGGTGCAATTCTGTTCATGCTTACATAGAGTTGTCATACTTTTGGTTTGTTTGTTTGTTTGTTTGAGCATGCAGAAGATTGTGCCATAAAGAGTGAAGTGCAAAGAAGTGATAATGATAGATTGTCATGTGATGGTCTCATTGTGAACAGGTTTGGCCTGACTGTCCAAGCCTTTTTAAAATCAGCTTCAAAATGAAGGCACTGTTAACTATGCACAGGGCAGCTGGTACAGCTGTGAAGGCTTGTCAAGCTGCACTCGGGATTCTTGGAGTGCCTACAAAAATGACTAAAAATCAAAAATCCACCCCAAAGATGGGAGTATTTAGAAGGAGTGCTGAATGCCGAATCATTCCCTGTAATAGCGAACTCAGGTACCGAATGTTGAGAATGAAGCCAGAACAGGGCTGTGGAGAAATAAAAAGGAAGATATCAGCATAGTCAGAAAATTCACAATATGTGTACAGCAGCTAATTGCCAAAAGAAAATCCCTAATAGGATGAAAAGTCTTCAAAACAGCTGAATGAGACTTGAACTATGCAGGAGCAACAGAGAACTGGGGAGCAATTTAAGAAGAACAGGGATGGATTAGAATGGAGCATCTGGGAAGGAAGCATGGAACCTTGAATATGAATTCTCCTGCTAGGGGATCCTACACTGCAGGGTTTTGCTGCACATTCTACTTGTTGTACCTAAGTCTGAGGTACAGAACTGGGTTAGGTCGGGGGCAGCCTGTGCCCCGGCAGTGCACGGCAAACTGCAGGATGTTAAGCAGTGTGGCCCTGATTCTGAGGTCACTTTGGGGTGTGTGGCCCATAAGGCCTTCACCTCACTTCCCTTTATACTTTGTGCTGGGAGGAGCTATAGGCCTGTGAATCCAGGGGACCCAGGCTGCTCTGCATCCCACTGTGTCTCCAGTGTCAGATACAGCTGGGCGTTCAGACTGGCCGAGGAGTAGGGATGGAGTGTGCTGAAACTCACTCGCATGGTGGGGCAATCCGGCCATTCCACACGCATGGAGTTGAGTCTCATGCCTGGACTGTGTCTAAGCAGGGAAATCCCTCTGTTCTCTCAGGGCAGAAACAGCAGCTGGCGTGGGGAGAAAGCCAAGGGGATTTCTCAAGGAGGTGGGCTTAGGGCATACACCCCACCCCTGGAGAAATCCCAAGAGATTGTGGGGCCAGATTTAGAGTACCCATGGGCAGGATTAGCCTTGTAGGCCACATATTCTGTAGCCCTGGTTCAAAGCAAAATACTTGGTGGAACCATCAGTACTTTTTCAAATCGGAGGGAGTTTCCAGAATCCACATTGGTTTCAGTCTCATTCCAGAATGTCTCGTGACCATAATGCTGATATTATGATAGAGCTAGTTTTACTTGGAATCCTTCCTTGAACATGGGGTTTATTTATTTATTTAACACTTTTACATACTGTTGTAATAGCCTTTTGGCTCCTTGGACAGTTTACATGGCCTTCTTGGCCCCTTCCAACTCCTCTAATCTATGATTCTATGATGCTATAATTATTTTCTAGGCACCTTATTTAGAAATAAAGAAGCAAATGGACAAACAGGACCCACTTGCTCATCCTCTCCTGCAATGGTAAAAGGCATCATTTAGATTATATGCCATCTGTTTGATTTCGCAATGCTGTGTATTGCCCTTAGCTCATCCCATATATTGTTCACCTGGGTATGCGTTCCCTCACCTCTTTCAAAAGGCTCAGTCACAATGCTGCAGTGCATCCCGCCTTAGGAAACCCATCTTTATCTATGGCTCCTTGTAAATTGATTGAGTTCTGTCCATCCACCTCCATGTACAGAGGCTGTTAACGTTCCCTGTGTGTGATGGATTAGGACTACCGAATGGACATCTTGGCAGTATGTGAAGGCTTCCCTTTGCACAATAAGGAATTTCAGTATAAAGGACACCATGCACAATGGATGCAGATTGCAGGAAAGTTCAGGGATGCCACTGAATCCTATGGTGAATGATTGTGCATTGGATTTGTAAATGTCAAGTAAAAGTTACTAAAAATGAGTTTGACTTCTCGATCACTGGATGAAGTGGATGAATAGCAAAAATTCTATCAGAGCAATACATTTTAACTTGAGCATAGACAAGGAGCCCATAGAGTTGAGTGCATTCCATATCATAAATTAGCACAAATGCTTTTATTAATTTGTGGTAAAGTTCTCCATTTCCACTTGGTTGTATGGTACAATTGTTCAAGCAGCCTATGTGCCAGAGGACTCGTCTTGGTGTAGTTTGATCTGTGCGCAGGCTCCAGGAAAATGGAGTGAAGGAAAAGCTGCAACTTGTCTTATTCCATATATTTCTGTATATTATTTATTTCAGGGTTATTTCAAGTAATAGATCACATATTGTCAAGTTACCTGTCAATAGGGTAAGTTTTATGTTCAAACCAATTCCATAAGAAAGGGGTGACCATTTGCCAACTGACAAAAATTAGATAAAAGTGGACACAGATTTGCATGTGCTAATATATACCGGTGGACATTTATCCCATGCCGTTTTCTGTAAACTCTATATTAATTATTCAGATTTAAATAGGCATACAATCCATCTCACCTGAGTGGGAAAGACTATGATCCAGGTGACCTGTTCAGCAGCAGATGTGCCTTGCTCTGTTTGTTGCCCAGGTGTTCACTGATGATTAATTTCTACAACTGTGGATATTTTCAGTCCACTGTCCAGGTCTGCAGCTGAAACATTTAGTTAATGAAAATGTTCAGAGGTAACCGTGGCATCTAATGGCAAATTCATTAATTTGTCAGTTATCCCACAGCTTGAGTTAATCGATATGTAGTTTGGGTTAAATGGGTGTGGGGGGACAATCCCATATTCATGGGTTTGAATGTCATGGTATCAGCCTTTGCATGTACAATTTCAGGGCTGTAATGAAAACAGGGGTTTTTAGACTTGCACTAGCACACATCTCCACCATTTGTGGGTTAATCAATCAGCCCACAGATTGCTGCCAGAAGCCACCTTTCCATTCAAACAACCTCGTTCTCCCTCCTTAGATTGGACTTGAACCAATTAGGCCTTCACCCAGAAGATGCCTTTATATAGAGGATTGTCCTCTGTAAAGTTCAACACATGGCAGCTAGTGTGGTGTAGTGGTTAGGATGTTGACCTGGGACTCAGGGAAATCCCTGTTCTAGTCCCTGCTTGGCCATGAAGCTCCCTGAGTGACTTCGAACCAGTCAGTGTTTCTCAGTGTCACATACATCACAGGGTTCTTGTGAGGATAAAAATGGAGAGCAAGAGGACATTGTCAGCCACCTTGGGTTACTCAGAAGAGGTGGGTTATATAGAATGTAAAGCGGGATATAAACTCAATCATATGTAAAATCTATCATGGACAAATTGATCATGGACAAAAATGTGTCCAAAATCACCTGTTTTCAGTCACGTCCAACATGTATTTCAAATGGCTCATGCCATTCAGTGCTGTTCTTCTAGAAGTCAGTTTCTTTCTTTACCCTTACTGGACTCAGCCTCACTCATCCACACTGCTGTTCACTCCAAGTGGCTCTGACAGTTCATGTAGTTTAGCTGATCATCTTGCAATATTGTATTAATCAGCAGAAAGGAATATTAGATGTGCTGTTCTCAGAGAATATCAGTTTTAAAGAATATTCTGTGCAGTCCTGATAATCTATTTTTATTTTTTTTTGCATGACATTAAACATGAATGTTTCTTGTTGTGCATAGGAATATTAGGACCAAACTCAATAGGATGCAGGAGATCTTGGAACAGGTGTTTGATATATGAAGGGTCTGAATAGGATGGGGGGGAAGTTGCTTGGGGAGGGATTAACCCTTTCCAGCCTAGATTGTTTTCCTTGCTGAAAAGCCTCCCTTCCTCTCAAAGTGACTATTTACACTTGGGAGCAAAAGAGGAAAAAAAGTTTACTTCCACGTGTTCCCACCGCTGATTTCCTATGCCAGTTTGGGTTCAGGGAGGAGCAGGCATTGCTGCTTTGTTTGACCTTTCAAAAGCAGAGAGATCCTATTCACAGAACTCTCATTTTACACCTTAGTCTCATTGCTCAAATTCTTACTAAGCCTGTATTTGAGAATTTGAATCCATCATTAATATTGTTTTACCCATTTGTTCCTGTTCTTTTATAGCAATTGAAGTTTATGCACACCCCGCATCAGTTTCTTCTGCTCAGCAGTCCACCAGCCAAAGAATCAAATTTCAGAGCTGCTAAAAATCTTTATGGAAGTACCTTTGCATTTCAGTGAGTACTGAACAATATGAATAAAAGCATCACCAAATCCCAGTCCTGTCAATGAAGCAAAAAATGAGCATCTCCTACCCCCAAATACTCTGAAGTGGAGAAGTTTCCTCTTTGGAGTGTATGATTTTAGAGAAAATTGTGAATTGCATTAGGCTGTTTCATAGCAGTGCTAATCTCCCTTTGTTTTTGTGTTTGGTTTTCTTTTTAAGTGGGTCACACATTGAAAACTGGCACTCTATCCTGAGGAATGGCTTAGTGGTTGCTTCCAACACAAGGTTGCAGGTAAACAAACAAACAAAACAAAGCCTTTGCATGGAAAATATATGGGGTTCCTGTTAAGGACAGCTTTGGGCCTGAAGCATTTAGGACATGCTTAGACAGAAAAAGGTCCCACAGCTCCCAGCATTCTCTAGTTAGCCCTGCTGGCAGTAAAATGCTGAAGCTGTAAGATTTTTGTCTGTCTAAAAATGCACAAGATTGCACCTTCAGGTAAGCTGTAGGCAGTCTCATCCACCATTTCGTGGGATAGCTACCGAATGGCAGCATGCTGTTAGGTACTTGTGGTATCCTTCTGCCAGTGGAAGCTAGAAGAGGAGACTGGCTGAACTCCCTACCCCAAGAAACTATCAGCAGCAGAAAAAGAAGGAAGTGTGAGAAGGTATAAACAGGGAAGCAACATGGGGTTCAGCTGTGTGTGTCTAGGCTGAGTTACAGGCTGGGTTAAAGTCCAGCTAGGTCTCCATGGGCACCAGTGCATCCTCAGGCTCCACTATTAGAACCATCTGTATTTCAGTTCCTAAGAACAGTTTGTGAGCTTAGTCCTCATCACTAGGACATTGGGAACATGGTTTTCCTTTTAGTTATACCACTTTGCTTCTGTGAAATGAGTATTTTGTGGCTGGCTATGCCCACCATATTGACCATTTTATGAACCAGCAATCCCCCAGTGGCAGTCATTTTGTGAATGTGCCCATGACATTTCCCCAAAAGTCCAAAGGTACCCACTGTCCCAAAAGGGCTGGAGAATCTTAGCTCTAATGCATCTGTCAAAATCTTCATGGAATTATGGGTTCTAAGGAGGGATGTATTTGAAGTAAGTGAGGTGATCTGGGAGACAGCAAGTGAAGAATACAGCAGAAGTATTAATGAAAATGCTAATTTTGCCACTACCATCAAAGAAGGGTTAGTGTATTGTACATACACATTGCTTAGACTGGGGTGTCAAACCTGATAGAGCATGTATAATCAGC